GCAGGTTCTTTAGAGCTGCACATGTACCCAGCCTGGTCTCGCAGTTGTAAGAGAGTGGTAGAATGTCTGCATAGCCGAGGTAATATTGGGGGTGCGCACTTTCGGAGACTGGATCGTGACATGCATTTACCGTATCTGTGCATATGTTTAAGGAATCTCTTAATAAATGGATGCATGAATCTCTTTCTCCGTGGCGAAACAAAGAACTGTTCTGCCAAAACCAACGAAAAACATGTTGCTGAACATCTGTTTTCTTCGAGTTCTCGAGCCCAAAAGAACGAGGCACATATATACATGGCGGAAACCTGTTTAGCATGTTCTTATTCTGAAGGTGACGGGGACGTGAAGTCACCGATTTTTGTGCTCCTGGAGGTGACTAACGAGGCTGTAGATGGAAACCAATCTCCTAGTAAGATTCGTCATGGTCCATTTCCTCATGGCATGGCGGTGTCCCTGGATAGATCGAGCAGCCAGGATGTCAAGGAGTCCAGGTACATGCTATCATGCTAATCAAAAACAATTGAGCTACAGCCAAACCCTGAATATCATTTAAACAATAGAATTCAGAATCCCTATATACTAAACCATGTGTTGTTGTTGCTGTGGTGCGCAATTATATAAAAGGTTTGAGTTTGATTTGATGCAAAGCTTTGATACCCTAGTCCTTGGGCTTCAGAATCTCAAAGTCCGTCGTCAAAGGACAACCTGTATATTTTGGAGTGCGAAAGTCTGGGTTGATAGCATGTCCCAGTTCCTGGTCAACTGAAAACAAAATAGACAAAACCTACCTACATATACACCATCGACGCCATCTTGGCAAAGATGAATTGGTTTGTAGAGCATGCATGGTCTTTTTGAAGCAACATTGTATTGCACATTCGCCGCTTCAAATTGGAAGTCCTCTTCCCAACCCTCCTGCCATTTGTTTCACTCGTGTGTCAGCTCTGTGCTCTGAGGGCAGAGCCTGCAGCACTTCCAGGCTTGGAGGAGGTCATCATCTGGCGTTTCAAGGAAGCTCAAAGAGAGGGAGGCTAAAGCCACTTGGTCTTGGCTAGAGAGGGTGACATGGGGTGACGCACCAAGTCCTGCAGCAGTGCATTGGGCGCCGGTTCAAGGGTGAGAACAGTCCGAAACTGCATGAGGCATGGTCTCTAGCCGCCATGGCGAGAGCATCCGTTTCGGTTCCCCTTCGGTTCTACTTTCGGTGCGCCACCTTCCTGCTTCCATCTGCTTCCATCACTTCGGGCGACATGTCGACGTGGTTCGGTGCGTTGGAGCGACATCGCCGAGAGCGACGGAGGACGTCACGTTGATCTCCGAGAACAGGGGGTTGATCTCCCAAAGGTGCGTTGATCAGATCCACAGTTGGCCTTGCCGAGGATTTTGTTTCAACATGTTCATAACTCTATGTCAGGCTTTGAAGAAAGCCTCCAAGCAACAAACAAAGATGATGTCCCGTGGGTTGGATTCTAGGAATCTGCCCGAGCTGGTTAGAGGCTCCGCACAATCCCAAACCACTCCATTCATCATCAAGTGAGTATCTACTGCAAACTGACTATGACCATACGGTGAGGATTCAAGAACCCATGAAACTTCTTACTTGCACCCCAAAAGCTATCCACTCAGGTCTATGTCGACATCGGTCATGACTCATCCCCTGACAAGCTCAAGGGCTTGAAGTGAGAGCTTTTGGGCCAAAAGATGCCAAAAGCCTGGGTGTGTATTGAACTAGGGAGACCACCAAGCAATGGCTGTTGGTCTGTTTTCCTCTGGATCGAACTGGGAGGTCTCCGTCTCCCTTTCACAACGCACTCCTTTTCTGCACCACCGCCTTGGGATTCGCGAAACCACATGAAACGACCGAGAACGGCCGTCTCCGTGTGGCTCCGTTCACCCGATCCGCCTGGACTTCGATCTCACTGGGCTCGGAGGCGCTGGAGGAAACGGGTTGCATCCTTGGGCGAAAGGACCACTAAAGGGAGGATGCAAACCACTCAAACGGGGTAGGAGGGGTAAATTTAATGCTATGAGTCCAAGTTGATTGTGTGAGTGCCCACCTAAACTGTCTGATCATAGCCATAAGGGCTATAATCGAATATCTAGATCTAAATTGCAGAAATAAAAAAAACAGCCTCAGACTCAGAAAGTCACCTTTTCTTCCGTCCACCCACTAATTGTGACTTTAGAGAAGGTCACAAAGGTCTTGGTTCTTTTTTTGGGGCACCTTTTGCTCAGGCCTGTGACAGCCCTCTCATTCCCATTTCAGCCAAAATGGTTTCCTTTCCATGGTGAAACCTCAGATGGTGAAACCTCAGGTGGACTTCCCCTTTGGCCTAACTGAGGGAGCAAACTCACTTGACACCGCGTACACTTGAGAATTGCCAAGTTTTCAGGAAAGTGTTGTTGCAAAGTAGCCACCTGCACCAGAAGCAATTTGTAGGGTTTGTCGTCATTGAAACAAAGAGGTGTCTTTTTGCAAGGACAAGGGCGGCTTTTAGCGGACAAAAATACATCTTGTCCTGTCCACTGGACTACTGATGCGGGATGCGCCTTTTGAGGCTCCAATCACAAGAAGGATGGCTCAACGTCACTTAGACGATACGTCCACGGCTTCATTGGAAGCTAAGGCCTTGATCTTGCTGGCCTGCAATTGGCAATTGCATGTCTCTGTTGCGGCAAGGAAAACAGTGGAAAACTTGGTGTTTCATGGTGTTTCATCGCAAAGCACTCATTGCAAGGGTTCCTCTCAGTCCAATGGCTCCAGGATCCCAGGCTGCAAGCGCTTGGCGGCCGCATCCAGCTGCAAGCGGTGCTCAGCCTCGCTCCATGTAAGCGCATGTACGATGATTCATCCTGACTGTTGGATAGTTTCTGGGATCTGAGTGACGGTAACGAAGGTATATGTTTTCTGCATGAGGACATTGGATTCTTGCACATTGGATCTTGTAGAGATAGTTGGGTGTTGGCGAGTTTGATGTGGTGTCCAGGTGTCTGGTAATTCTGGACCAGCTGGGAAATTGGGCGTGGTATCATTTCTGGACCAGCTACTTTGCAATTTGCAATTTGCAACTGATACTCCAAATGTTGCTAGGCCTGTTCGCCACGAGTCGCTCGAACTGTGGCCACTCATTCAATCATTGATATGACATGATATGACCTGATCTGCCAATGGGTAGGGACGCGTAAGAATGCGTAAGAAGCGTCGAACATGCTGCGCAAGACCGATGCCCTAAACCCCGGCAGGTTGACAGTCCATTCTGTTCATGTTCCGCGGTCAACTAGGGTGTCCCGGTTTTGACCCACAACCATATGACCTCTGGCAGCAACCATCAACAAAAACTGCCTCCAGCTGCCAGAATCTCCCAACCAACGACGCCCTGCATGCGGCTGCATGCGCCCTGCCGGAAGGCCTCGTTCTTCCGGGGCAAGTCCAGGACCACACCCGGAAAGGTGCCCAAACCCTGCAAGAAACTCGTTCCGATTCCGAGTTCCGAGGCCACTGCGTCGGGCTCGCAATGATGCTCAGAAGTACGCCCCTCTACAAATATGGAAGATCCGCCAGCATCAGGACCCAACTTGTGGGGTCTTTGGGATGTTAATGAAAAGCCCCCGGAATCACGGCAACCCCCCGGGGGCTTTGAGTCCATGGACGAAAACCCCGAGTCGTCGGATGGTGAGTCCAGGGCGATCATGCAGTGGGGGCCTCTGCTACACAAACCGTTGAACAAAAATGAACAAAGGAACTGATGCGTTGTTGTCCCATTGTGCTGCTAAAGACATGGCTTGAATGATGGTTGATATATATATATATATATATCTGTGTGTGTGTGTTATGAGAGGTGTCCTTTAGTGATCTTAGAAGATGTGTGTCTTAGAGAACTGAAACCACAAAACACAACTGGGGATGCATCTGATGCTGGGATGTGTATGGACAGGTGCCAAGGTACACGGGTGACGAGTGCCAGGTACATGGCGGGCATCAAATGGGTGGTGGACTTCCAGGGCATGTTGAGGTTCCAATTGCCGGTAGTTATGTTTCTTCAGGAGTATCATGCCATAGACTCCAAATCATGAGTCCCGGTTTTGACCCGTAGCCCTAAGCCTTAGACCCACTTCCAAGCAAAAATGTTACATCCGAGCCGATCCAGGCTCCACACACGCACGGTGAGCACTGTCGCTTCCAAGTGGGCCACTTCCACCAAAACAGTCTCCACCTGAGCTTGGCAAACGAATAACGTCTCAAAACAGCAGCATACGTCCCAATCCCATTGGTAAACAGTAGTTGACTCAACCACGTGGATTTTGGGGGCTGACTGAACCACAGCCAAGATTTAGATCACAGTTCTGGAAGAAAGCGTTCAGCTTTGGCCACTTTTGGCCAAAAGATATCAAAAGATCTGCATCTCCCTATCCAAGAGTTCAACATCCGGACGGCACCCAAACCGTGGATGAGCGACATCGCTGGTCGTCCAAGGCAGCCCCGACCATCGGTCGGTCGACATCCCACACCGACCGTGGAGAGCGAGAGGCCACCGGGGTCCCGGGCCACCAGGTCCGGAATCCCTGCGCGGAAGCGGACGTTCACCTGGCGGAGAGGCTGAATCTCCGATCTCAGGGGCCTCTACGAAACACACAAGAAGCCTAGCACCTGAACAAGTGTATATCATCGTATATCTAAAAGCAACACCGATGGACCTTTTTTGTGACCACATCTCAGAGGTTCTGCTGCATCTCAAAGCAAGAAGAGCACTGACTGATGTGGCCTGACATGAAGGTTATCCTCAGCTGATTTAAGATAAGGATAGATAAGCATCATGTTGCTCATGTCTTTTTGCCTGATTTCGCTTGTCAAGGTCACTCAAATGAGTGATAAATCATGTTCCTTGCTTCTTTCAACCTGCCCAACATGTCACTTAGCCTGATCATGATTGATCTCTCCCAACACATCCACCGGCGCGACTGGCTTCTTCTCCCGGTCGCCTTGAGGCGCTCCTCGGGCTTCAAGGTGCCCGTGGAGGGCACCACATCCACCACGAACGGCCGAGAGACGCCCGACAAGTTGAAGTTGAAGCTGGCCTCGAACCGCCATCACCGCCACAGGTGATTCGGGTGGAGAGGTTCGATCGAGGTGTCTGAGAAGGGAGGTGAGAACCAGTGCTTGCTGGTTCGCAAGTGTTGGGCTGTATGCAAAGAGGGTTGACCTTCAAGTTTAGAAGATGCATAATATGAGATTGATTGATCAAAAGAAGTGAGTATAACTTATTGCAAAACTTGAGATACGAGTATTACAGTATATATCACACATATAACAACTTGTATAATTATAGTGAGCGATTGCGGAGCTGGACCCATCACAAAGTGCCGTTGATTGCTTGAAGACATCTCTTCTGGGTTAAAAGACAACATGCTGCCTCGATTTCATAGTCATAGACCCCTGTATACAACAGGAGTCATTGTATGCACCCATTCATTGCCCAATCAGTAAGTAAGGTCAATGGCTTGCCACTGGCCACCCCTGTCTTCGTCACCAGCCGCCTTCTCCAGGAATGCACCTGGAAGGTTCCTCTTCACGCCAGCTGTGGCACCCCAACTGGGACCTGACCCTTGTTCGACAAGTAGAGTTCCGATTCTCCCACCTCACAAAGCAGCGAGGGAGCTTGCTGAGACGGGTCTGTCCGGCCGGGTCTGCAGTGGTCCAAACCACGGTTGGAAGGTGAGGATAGGTGAGGTCTTTCTGCAAAACACCGTTGGTATCTTCTCAGCCGAAAGCATTTGGGCAATTCTCAAAAAGTTGAAAGAACATGTTATTTCCAGCCCCAACATTGACCCTCCCATCCCCCCAATTCACATTCTCACCAATACCTGCAGGAAGCCAGGTATTTTCAGGTTCCAAAAGCATTCTGTTGATACCCCCTCGCCAAAAGCATTCTTTGAAACATCCGTCTTTCCTCTGTGGACCGCGTCCGCCTCAGTGAAAGGGATATCTCCGAAGTCCAACTTGGTCCTGGAATGAGGAAAGATCAAGACCTTGAGGTTTGGAGGCCATTCTGCCGAACTGTTTGGAGGATTTGGGTCGCCCCCCGCTGGTAATTCGACAACCAATTCACTTTGTTTGAAAGGCGCGACAATGGGAGTTGAGCCAAGTGCCCTTCGGATGATCTTTTATGATGTTTGGGCCTATTTTGGAGTCCCGTTACAGCATGTTTTACCCTCCTCATAGGGGTGTTTATGCACCGGTTTGATTCACGACTTGGGATGGGGTCGGCAGGCTTCCAGCAAGCTGCCAGTCGCGTCATACTGTTTGCATGAAGCCACTTAGCACCTGATGCTGACTGTTGTTGTGTTTGTTTTCTCTTGTTTCTTCACCCTTTATGGAGATGTCTTACCATGTAGGTAGCTATGTTTGTTGTTTGGTTTGAATCAACAGCCAACACCATGCTGTCCACCCCATCAAGTTGCAACCACTTGACCACCTGTAGTGCGTGATTGAATGTAATTGCCTCATCATGCATGAAGGACCATTTTTGTCACTTAGCTTTACCATGATGGACCCACCACCTAGCTGCAGCCACAATCATTGCGAATGCTCAAGCAGCTAATTTGAACTCGTAAAATGCGAAGCAGCTGCTTGTGTATAATTTTGCTCAATATCCAAATTGACGGCCTACTTCCTACTTCTTGTTGACAAGATGAAACACTTCCCCTACCCAAGTTGAAACTGTGTGGTTTCCTGCCCGTAAAACCAAGTGAAGACTTTTGTTATGAAGGCTTGTTGTGGTAAGATTAAGGCTTCGACACCGCTGTTCACCAACGACAACTCTTTGACAGAAATTCACCAGAAGAGTCACGACATAAAGCATCAAATCACCACATCCAAGATCATCCAAGCTTTGGCTATCAGCCCTATCAAAAGCATCCATTTCGGGACCTGTCGTACCAACCGCCGTGGGCTGCGCCGACCTCTCGAGTCTCCTCGGCGTCCCTTCGGCCCCGACACGGTGCCGGTCCTATCCAAGCTGTACTTGCAGGGTGCTGCCGTCCCCTTGAGCTGCACCTGACCACCGGGAGCGTCACTTTGCAAGCACGCCACCGTTTGCGTCGTCCAGGAAACGACGCGGGAAAGTGCAGTCTGGTTACAGCCGTGAGGACAGAATGATCAGAACCACCCTACTCTTCAGGTATTTCAAGGAGCCATTGCCATGCTTCTTTGTGCTAGTATTTCACACTATGAAACACTCCTGTGCCTACATTACTAAAACAAAGTATGCTGACTGCCCCGAAGCAGGCGACGATTGGTCCTTTGAACAGTTTTGAGATCAGCTCCTGACCTTCAGCGCTGCTATCCAGATCTCAGATCAAGAGTTTTGTTGGGATAGGTTGACATCGCAGCATATCCCAAACAATAAAACAATTCTAAGCCTCCACAGATTGGCATACAAGCAGATCATGAAACAACCATTGGTGGAATGTAGTCTAATTATATAGTTGTCGTGCCAACGGCTCCTTAGTGACGGAACACACTGAAAGACGACACGGCTTTGTTTCCAAGAAAGTGATTGTTGAAACAAGGTCCAAAGACCGCGAAAAAAGAAACGGATGTGTGATCTCACCAAGGGGCGACCTCCAACTGGTGGTAGATCCCCACCATGCAAGCCCAAACCGAATGATGAGCGGCGGCGCCTCATATTCTGGACCGCCATCCACCATGCAAACGGCCACCGCGCGGAAGGAGCGGTCACGCAAGGCCTCATACCTGGAGTGCCGGTCCGAGCGTTCACGCATCCAATTGCCCGGTGGAGTCGGGAGTAGGGAGGTCCCGGTTTCACCGCTTCTCTTTTTGGTCTCTTGTTTCGTTCGGTGAATTCATCGACATGCCAAGTGACTTGCTAAACATGCTTACAGGGAAAAGGGGTAGGAAAAGATGAGGGGAATGGGGATAGCCATGGACAGGCGCTATAGCCTTGGACCCCCCTGGAAAAAGTGTGCCTCCCTTTTGGGTCTGGAGCCGGTCTGCGGAACTTGTCTAGCTGAGATGCTTGTATCTCTTACGCTATGTAGCCAGCCATGATTTATTATAGAAATGCAATTTCTGTCCGTGGGGATTTGACATATATATCATATATCTTCATTTGATCACTGTCGTCGTCAAAGAAAACACACATGGACCCGGGGTGAAATGGGTAAGTTTATCATAGTTTATCCTCTACCGAGCAGGCATGCCTATAGCCTATAGTTAAAAAATATTCCAAGCACCAACACAACACAAAACAGTTGACAAACAAAACAATTGTAATATTCCTTTTGGGATGATGTCTAAGTCTAAGATTCCTCAAGACAACCCATACATCTCAGCTGGTTTGGGAACTATGGGCCTTGACACTGTTTAGGTTCAATATGGTTCAATCTTCTTAAAATCCTCCGCTTCCAAGGATTACGCCCCTCGCTCCAAGTTTCTTTTTCTCCCGCTTGGCGACCCCGTCGACCCGCCCAGTCACGTGAAGGTGGCCACTTGGGTCTCACCAGGCTCCAACTTCCCATAGATCGGCAAGATATCGAACACCTGAGAAAACCGAAGTGGCTTCGAATGGTGGGGAGTGAATTAAACCATGATTAAAAACCCTTTTTACACCTCTGACCTGGCCGGTGGGACACCCCTGGCGGTTCGCTCCGCCGTTTTTGGAGGGATCGAACCGTCAGGAAGGTCTGGTCGAAGAAACCCACTTGGGCGGTTTTTCGGTGCTTCTGGGCCCCATGAACATGAGACACGGATGCTCATCCTCGACGTTGGGAAGTTTGGACATCCCGTATACCGAGTCATTGAAGCACGGACAGCCCACCCCTTGTATTTGGATACGACTCGGCAACCCAACTAACAACGGTTCTCTTTGTTTTCAGTACGAACGGTCCAAAGGTGTTGCTTCCTGAACGAATCGATGCAGGTGGGGGAATCGGGGAGTCTATAGCTTTGCTTCGATGTGAAATCCAAACTCTTCAAGTGTTCTCTAGGCCAAGGGCCAAGACTCACAAAGACCTAATGTGTTCAGTTTGGGTTCCAATGTTGTTGCAGGTAGGTAGAACCTTTTTTCTAGACCTTGATGTTGTCAGATTGCGTTCTTCATTTTACTATGTCGGGATGGAACCTATGTCAGAACTCAAGACCTTAGTCTCCTTCAGTCTTTCAATTTGGTAATATGATGTTAATATGTCTTGAAGCCTCACAGTAAGACCTTCAAGCTTCCACATACATTCCATCCTTCCTCCTTTCCTAGTGTTCTTTTGAGGGTGGCCTCATCCAGCCTTTCCGCACCCGAGCCTGGCTGAGCTCCACGTCATGCAAGGTGTCCGGGGGACTGGCGATGGGCAGCGGTGAACAACGGGACTCTGGCGGAGCTGTTGCAACAAAGCACCGATCAGCCCATGACGTCGGATGTGCCGAAACACATTCCAAACCTAAAAACACGGACCGGTGGACCGAGCGGAAACCAACAAAACAACAATCAGCTGGTTATAGCTAGGTCGGCTTTATTCAATTCCAGTTATACACAAGCCCTCACGGGTCGACCACCTATTTGATCGCACCTGGCTCCCCCCCCACACCCTCGCGTGCCTGGTCGCCAGACTCGCCCAGCTGGCCGACGTGGAGACTGGGCTACTGGGGGGCCTCGGTCACGCCACGTGGCGTCCGCCACAAGAGTCTTTTCAAAGGCAGGCAGAGGTGCTGTCAGATGGGAAGACTCCACATTTATATGGCTGTGGGTCAACACCACACATTGGTTGACCACAGAAAATGAACAGAATGGACGAAGTAAAGGAGGTCAACTTGCCAGCGTTTAGGGCTCCAGGTTATGACCCACAGCCATATGGGTGCAGTATATGCATCCTTTTGCCAAGGGGTCCAACTGGGTTTTGCTATTGTCCACCACATCTGCTAGTGCCCGAGCTGGAGAAGTAATCCCACTTCTGGCAGTTCCGTAGACTGAAAAATCGTAGTAGAAGCTGCGAAGTCCCCTACTACTGAGTAGAATGAAGCAAACACATGCGAAAACAGTACTGCCAAGCACATCCTGCGAAAACGACTAGGTGTAGGGAATCCGATTTCTCGTCTGAGGTGTAGGACCAGGTGTAGATCCATCCATCACCCGTAGATCCGTCCTCCTCCCCAAAAATGGCTGCGACCGTCTGCCCAGAAGAACAAATATCTGGCAGTCTATCCGATTTGTATTTCGGGCGTCATCCGGTCGATGCTCCTGGAGCTTCTTGGCCCCCCCAAACCATGGCCTTTCGTGCCCGTTCTGTCCCGTCGAGCAACCACGGCGAATGCGCTTCGAACGGTCTGATTTTTGTGTCCACGGTTTTTGGTCGGAGTCACTCTCGGAGGTATCATGTGGTATCCATGATTTGAAACACATTTCACTTCATCTCACCTTTGACCGAACCTTTGTCTTCGGTCCATGGTGTTGTCACAATCGTCAAATCAGGGAGCAATCTTCTGCTGGTCACTGCCTCCTGTCGAGGGACGAAGACATCCCCATCGTGCGAGGAGAAGCCAGCGACCTGCGCGCAGCAGATCGCTCGTCCAACGGGGCGAGTGAGGTGAAGAACAGCGTCGAGTGGGGCGAGCAGATGGTCATCGTGGTCTATATGGATGACTTCTTCAAATGGGGGGAGACTTGTCTCAAGGAATGGGTTCAGTCTATTGAATGTGTCCTCTTCATCATTGGATATCAGTTTATCGGGATATCGGAACATCCTTATGATATATAACTATGTATATGTGATATATATATATATACATGTTGGAACATAACACAACTGAAACAAAGATCTTTTGGCAAACTGGCCAAATGGAGGGACCTCGCTGGCTCAAATCATGGGTCTGTTGGTGTAAGCTTCACCGTCCATGGCTGCTAGGGGAACTGATGCGCCAAGGCATCCTGCAATCCAAGTTGTGCTGTTTTGACATGGAACATGTATGTCAGTTTGTCCCATCCACTCAGGTGACTTCCCGAAGAAGGCCAAAGATTCTTATTATTGTTTAATCTTTTGGGCAACTTCCAGAAGTAAGTATGGGTCCAGCCAGGAGAAGTAAGTAGGTGGTCTCGCCCAACACACCAAGTGGGCCAAGTGGGACTTGGTCGAGATTCTCCAATTGAGGGATCACAAGGGGGGGTGCTCTGTAACCGGATCCAGCAGTACCACTCTGCCAGGCAAACAGTGGCTGGAAATACTCAACTAAAACAACTAAACATCTAGAAAGCCATCCATGTGCACCTATCCCGCTGAAAACACACAAAAGAGCAAATTAACTGGTTACTAGCTATAGGTCCTCATAGTTACTACAATACAACCCCCAGCAGACTAACGCGGACCGTGAGAACTGACCCTTGGTTTCGACCGTTTACCTCTAAAACCCAGTGGTTTTTGAGGTTCCATGGGGAGTATCTGCAGGGGAGTAACTACAATAAATATATATATATAGCTAGTTACTCCAGTTCTTGCCCTAAACCTCTGCATTCACTGCACTCGGCGCGGGAATTTCTTTGGGCTGCCCGGCTGAGCCCTGCATCCGCCCCGGGAAGGGCAAGGAGGTCCGCGTGTCCTGCACCGTCCGTGAGCCATCCGTGAGCCGTGCGTCCGAACCTACGAAGCGTGATCCACACAGTCGATGGATGTTTTGCGGAAGGGGTCGCGAAGCGTGAATTCGAAATGAAGGTGCTGCATGGGATGTGTTTGCCTTGTACTCCCGCTCCCAAACTCTTTTGATCCCAACAATCGAACACCAAAAACTCAGCAAGCGACAAAGAACCAGTTCCCAAATGGAAAGGAACCACTTTGAAGTGGACTAGATTCCTTTTTACTCAATGGATGCCCATTATACGTGTTCATCATTGAAATTGGAATCAACATTCACATCAGATCGACGTCCGAATACCAAGCCCCAATTGGGTTCAACATGAGCTCCGGGAAGCTAGATTATGGCACAGTGATCTTCCAGGTTGATACTTGCCGATTTATACGGTTCCCTTTGTGGATTTTAAACCACTTTTCCTTATCTATACCAGATTGCATTAGTAGATTGACTTGAGGCAGAGTAGCTACCTTGACACAGTGTCAGTCTGGGTTTGTCATTCACTTCACAGAACGGCCACTAACCAGCAAGGATCACACTAAACCGCAGAAGATAAGAAAACACATGCCTCTACTCTGATGCTTGTAAGGATTCCAAGTTGTGCATTTAGGAGGATGAGGATGGAAACCCTGGGTGTGATCCTAACAACATGGTACCAGTATTTGCAGCTGGGATCTGCCAGGCTGCATGTCTGCAGGCCACCAATGAACCCCACACCAACTGACCTGTCAACAGAATTATATAGATGCCCTACCCGCTGTCCCGATGTGTTTTTCCTCGCCCTTGGCAGCGAAAACACCCAGATCGAACCGATGGCCGCTCCATGCCACTGGTCAGGGTGGCGGGCGTGCGCGGGTTGGAAGCTTCTTCCGCCTGCGGTTCCAAGCACCGCGGAAGGCGGTTTTCTCGTCCCGCGCGTTGCAGTCAAGTCGGTCAGCGGAACATGGGCTCCTGGAAAACTATATGTCATAATGATCATCATATATGTCATAAAATGTTTTGCCGTTGTCTTTTCCAAGTTCATGTTTGTCAGATGCACCTAAGTGTGCAACTCCCTCTGATGCCAAATTAGGTCTCCGACAGGACGCTCCCTGGGTCAGACTTGTATTGCAAGTCACATGA